ATACTGATATACCGATGAAGATATGATGACAATAGTAGATAATTCATTCACGCCCGGAAGACACGTCCTTCGCCAAGTTTACAACAAGCTGCCAATCAGAGTCATTCACTTAGGGAAGGAGTCTGGGGCCATATTACAGAAACTTCTTAAAGTCTGAAATCTTATCTGTTTAGTCACCATGACAACTTCAGTTAGGACTGAATTTAAGACAGAAGCATTTACAGAACAACAGTTCTTAAGCTCATAACCTTATCATTAACTCCAGATAAGAAAACAGTCTTACAGAAACATCTTAACTAGACTAAATCTCTTAACTACTGTCCTAACTTTAAGACAACCCCAGAGCTGTCTTAACTTCTGTTTTAACCATCTGTTTATGTTGTTTTTTGCAGTGACAGGCAGCACAGTTCACTATAAGTTGCATAATAATGTTACATTAATATACACTGAAAACGGTGGTTTGACTTGTGGGATGTTTTTCTTTTCAAACACGTTTTAAAACTGCAGACACTGCAGACACGATCTCCACCATCCCCTCTAATTACCTTCGTGTGTTAATGTTGATGATACAATATTACAGTGATGGTGGTGAACAATGAGGAGACACAGCTGAACGTGTGTCGGTTTATTAGGATACAGCGGCACGCTCGGCTAAAGCATTTGGGAAATGGAAACTGAAACTGGGGAGCGACAACGCTCTGATAAACAGCACAAAGCGCTGTCTCAATATTCCTCACTTCAAGTTTATTGCATTTCAGCTTTGTTTGATCTTTTTACATCAGTAATGATAACTAACGTTAGCTGTCTGGCTAAATAACTTGATTACTTTGATTACTTGTTTACGTTTCAGCTGTGCGTGTATGGTCGGTTACTAGGTAACAGACACGACAGTTGATTGTTGACTTCGATCGAGTAAGTTAAGATCTACTAACTTGAGAAAAGATGCTGTAAGATAAGATTCCTAACTCAGGATAAGATTTCCTTCTGTAATACGAATTTGTGAAGAATCTTATCTTGACCCATCTGTAATACGGCCCCTGAAGTACAACATTACGTAGTGTAGCTTTAAAGAATGAGAGGTGATGTAGTTTTCAAAAACTGTTGAGTTACTCAGTATTTAATGTGATTTTCATGAAAGATTTTAATAATTATTTAAAAAAGCATACTCTAGTGAACTGACCCAGACCAATTTGCCTTTAACGGTGACATATTTTTTATTTTTTTTTCCAATTAAATATAGGCTCCTGTGCTCTCTGAAAGACAACTATGAAGAGTATAAAACAAATAATTTTCAAAACAGGTTGAGTTGCTCAACATTTCATGTGATTCTCAATTAAATCAGTTAAAAATGCATAAAAGTTAAATATAGGACAGAAAACAGGTTGTCAATGACAAAAACAAGAAAAAAATTCTAGAAATCAAAATCAGTGTCTTTATAATCACATCAAATCAAATCGTGAGGTGCCTACAGATTCCCACCCCAACTCTCCATATCACAAGAAATTTGGTTTAGGCCAAAATTGTACCTCAAAACTATCATAAAACAATGTTTCAGACATCCAGCACCATATTCATAACAATTTCACAGAATAATTTTCTGTGAGGGAGCTTTGAGAGGCTCTTCAGACTGCTGTTTAAACTCTTCAGATGTCTGGTTCCTATCACCACCACTGTGAACAATTCTGACTCAGTAAGTTTCTCTAGAACAAAGCATTTCACACCAAACCACTCCGAATGACTCTGTTTACATCTTTACCATTTAATCATGCAGACATGTTGTTCTCCTTTAATGTATCATTTTCCTTCCCATTTTAGAAAAGACAAAGTTAGTACTAAAACTAACTTCAAATAAAAAGAACTGATTCCACAAGACTGTGCGCTGTTTAACATCTGGTTTTCAAGTAATTCTTCAAGTGCCGTCTCCAAGCAGCAGCCAGTAAAATCCACTACAAAGCAGACATGAGAGAAACACTTTTCTTAAACTGCAGAACCATTTATAACAAACAATCGTCTCAAGGTCTGAGCGAGTGGAACAGTGCAGTAGGCTCTGTGAAAATACAAGTCGTGAAATGACCCAGGCCAAACACATTTTATGTTCTTCCAACTTAATATGGTCTTCTGTGCTCTCTGAAAGACACTTGTGAAGAGTATAAAACAAATAACATTAATTCAGTCTTTGTATGTGTTTTATCAGCTCATTTACTCTTCTGGGAAGAACAGCTCATTTTCTGAGTGTTGATTTTGTATATTAATGACCTCTGCTCTCATTGGCTGCCACAGTAGAGGAGGCGCAGTAGGGGGTGTGGCTTTGCACAGCTGCAGCGAGCTCCACAATGCCTGCTGCAGAGCACTGTACAGAGACCACAAATGATCACAAAATCATGAGAATGTCCCAGCAAAGCATGTGATTATACAGCTATGTTCAATACAGAAACCTTGCAATTCGCTTTGAATGTAGCTTTTGTTCACATGCTAATATAACGCTGAATTCTGCTAGCCTGGTAATGGGGATTTGCCTGTTACATTAGCATTAAGCCAATGGTGAATCTTTGCATTTCACAGCAGCTCTACATTAACTGCAGACACTGGAAGCTTGTAACCAAAAATCTTTATAGGGAAGTCTGTTCAATTGGTGGCCATCTTTGCAACGCCGTCAGATACTTATTTCCAGTCATACAAGACCAGGGGTCGTATTCCAGAAACTTCTTAAGTCTGGAATCTTTTCTTATCTTCTTAGTCACCATGACAACTTCAGTTAGGACTGAATTTAGGACAGAAGCTATTACAGAACAACAGTTCTTAAGCTCACAATCTCATCCATTAACTCCACATAAGAAAACAGTATAAAAGAAACATCCTAACTAGACTAAATCTAACTTTAAGATGAACCCCAGAGCTGTCTTAACTTCTGTTTTAACCGGCCGTTTATCGTTTTATGCAGCACAGTTCACTGTAACTAACATAATGACTCCACATTTATCGACACTGAAAACGGTGCTTTGACTTTTTTTATAACAGCATTTTAAAAATCTCAGACGCTGCAGACACGATCTCCATCGTCTTATTACCTTTGTGTGTTAATGCTGATGATAAAATGTTACGGTGATGCTGGTGAATAATGAGGCGATAGAGCTGAATGTGTGTCTGGTCTGCTGGAGAACAGACATGACAGTTGATTGTCGAACAGGTTAAGATCTCCAAACTTGAGATAAGATGTTGTAAGATAAGATTCACCAAATCAAGATAAGATTTGCTTCTGTAATACAAATGTGTGAAAAATCTTATCTTGACCTGTTGGATCTTAACTTAAGACAAAGAGATAGGACGTTTTGACCCAGGCTCCTTGAAAGGGGAGAGACCAAAATACTCAAACCTGAAGGTCAAATTACAGTTTCAAAAACATTTGGAATCACCAGTAAAATGTGACGAAAACCTCATGAATAATAGTTTGTAGCGTTTGGCTCAAATTTTTTTGGCTTGTTCTGGCTACTGGGGTTCTAATAGCGCCAAAGGAAAATCGTGGATACACCAAAACAACAGAGAGTTCATTTTTCATGGCTTCTCTGATGGTGGAAACAGTGACAAGTAATGCATATGTGAACTGTGAAAGAAAAATGCAGTCTCGCTTACCAGGTCTCCTTTATCACACATCAGAAAAAGCCACAAGCGCCTCCATTCAAGTTCTGTTAAAACTCAGTTATTAGCAGCAATTTACTGCAAGTGATTTCATAGACTATGTCCTGAACATGGAAGATATGCACTGATTCCCTATTAACCCCTTACATGGCCATGGGCCCAGTGGCAAAGTTTATTACACACTTCTATAACCTAAGAACAGCTCAACCAGTTTGCACTGAAGTCCCTGTAGTCACTGAATAATAAGCCTTAGTATGCAATAAGCTTTCCCAGGGTTAAAATAGTCAGCTTCATGCCCTCTCAAGGATCCCAAGGGTGTATGTGTGGAAAGTGCGGCATGCTGTTTAGTCATTGACCTGCTATTTCAGTGGTTCTCAATCCTGGTCCTGGAGTATCACTGCCTTGCATGTTGTAGTGTTCTAATCATTAATCTAATCAGCTTTAAGAAACAGTTAAACTGTACTTTGTACAGTTAAACTCAAGTTAAACCCAAAGTTAGTTTGCTAACTCCTACATTCCAGCATAGCAGTTCAACCCTTCGTGCACAACAAAAGAAAAAAAAAACATGCATAACCAGCAGTTGTACAATACAGCTCTAGAAGGACAAGTCATCAGTTAACGTGCAGTCCAGGTCACATTACAAATAAGAAACTAAAGATAAAACTTTCTCCAACAAAATTATGCTGACTCCATTGATCAGAATCAGCCATCAAACATTTTTTCCCCTCATTTTACAATTACCACTGGATAACATCCAGGAGAAAAGACAGATTAATACAAGCACGAACAAACATAACTAAAGAACAAAGGCTGTCCAGGAACTAATCTTGTGTCCAATTGCTAACAGGACCATTTTGCAGACATCAAGGGTTACACAGGAAAATATAAACATACAAACATATTACCTTTTACATATCCTTTTAGTTGCCCTAATGGGGTATTTTATTTCTCGCAATATTTTGTAAAGTATTTCATCCTCAGTTGTAACATAATGTAAATCTTTCCGCTGAGTAAATTTCATGGACAATTTCAATCCATTGTTTTTTTTGTGGGGCTCCTGCTGCTTTCAATTTTCTTGTTATGGTCTTTTTACTTGCTACCAATAATATTTTACACAGGTATTAATTTCCCAAAATAAAGATTTACCCATGGAAACAAACATAATTCCAAATAGCACTTCCAATCTCTTGCCAAAAACACAGAACTAGCCATCAAACAATTTAACCTGTATCTGCATTATCATACCCAAAAATCAACCTTATCATTACCCATTTGTGCAGTTGAATCTAATTCTGTGACATATTAAGCTAATATGAATAAAGAGTTTACTGGAAGTGAGCAAGTGGTGAAGAGATTTAACCCACCTTGACACAAACGCACACAAGTCTTTAAACTCAGCACCATCCAGTATGATGTTGAGGTCAGTGATCTTCTGAAGGGAGCAGTCACTATCCTGCAATTAGAAACATGGAGTTCATTAGAAATACTAAGTAGAACAGTATGGAGTGTCTAGTACTCTAGAGCTGAACACTAGAACTCTAGTCCTGGGGGTATTCCACAAAGCTGGATTTCTCAATTAGCCAGATAACTTAGGCCAATGATGAGGACTGTCCGACGGGAACGTCCCTCAGCCCCTTTACTACTGGACAGGCTTGACTTTGGGCTTAAGTTATCTAGCTAAACTGAGATATTCTGCTTTGTGGAACCCTCCTAATGAGCCAGTGTCCTGCATAGTGTGGCTACTGTCCTACTCAAACACACTTAATTTAGCTCATCAATTATTTACTAGGTTTATTAGGTTTGTCAGAGTGGGGAAATCACCAGCCCTCCAGGACTGGAGGTAATATCTTGCTCTAGATTAAATAAAAAAATCTCAGCAAATCTGTGGGCCAGCAGTTCATTTTTTACTTAACATTTTGTCATGACCCGAATTGGCCACTGTTTATTCAAAATATGCCAAAACTGCAACAGCAAAATAGGCACTGAATACTTATTCAAAACTAATTCTAAATAAAAATAAATTGTTTTAAGCATTTTTTAAATTGTCTGTTTGCTTAAACTAGACACCAGGGGTCTTTTCTTTTTGTGCAACCGCCCATAGATCATTGCTGGAGGAAGGGGTTCAGATTTTACACTATGTTGCAGTGCATGCTGGGGACTGTAGCACATCTTAGGGTGAAACGGGCTAATAAGAATAGAAAATTGAAACATTTTGCAGGCCGAATGGGACTGTGTTACAGGCCTGACTTGGCCCGCGGGCCTTGTGTTTGACACATGGGCTCTAGAGTAAGGTTTAATGACTGACTAATACAACTCCACTTTTTAGGTTTGCCGAGTTCCAGGTGACTCCTGAAGCAAATCTGTTTTTACCTATTGTAAAATTACAGGCTGTCTGACATGACTTGGATTATTCACTCAGGCAAGAACTCCACTGATCTAATGTGAGGCACTGCTCCTAACTCCCAGCTCGCATCCAATATAATTACTGCTAGGGCTGGGTATCATTACAAAATTTTAGCAAACGATACCAATACCTTCATTTCATTACCAGTTCCTGAATCATACTTTTTTGGATACTTTCTTTTTAATTATAAACCAAAAGTAGGTGTGGCTTAAAAAAGTGAGGTGATTGAAGTGGGTGTGTTTACTGATCACAGCGGATTGCAGGTTAATCAAGCGGGTTAATAATAAGCTTATACAATGCAAATCAGAGATCCAACCAGCAGTCCAGATTGAAACATGCATGTCTATTGGCTCATGGACACAATTGGCCACTTGGGTACTGAAATTTGATACTGAATGGCAAGGGTACTCACTTTTCAATACTCCGTAGTACTGAAGCAACTTTGTACCATAAAAACACTGATTTTTGATACCGAGCACTAACCACATAAATCACTCCTTAATTACCTCCCGTGCTGTGCGCGTGTAATTTGATTCAATCATTTATTCATTCTTTTCAATGTGTTTGTAGCAGAAACTCATCAAGATGAGAACAAAAACAAAGAAAAGTAATGAAATATAAAGGTGTTGACATGGAACGTTTGTCAAACTAGCAAAGTGTTTATATTTGATGTGTCAACTCAACTGTGGTCCAAGTCAGACTTAAATATTTAGGGTTAAAGCTGCTGTGTCTCGGACTCTACCATCGCTCTCCAAGACCTCGTAACTCATCTGAGCACTTTTTATGTAAGGTAGGCTTTGCTTTAAAACAAACAGCGATATACTCATCAGCACAATTACTATAAAAATACATTTTCTTATTTATTTTGGGAATCTTGTGGTTTTGACTCTATTGCTTTAATAAAATAAATACCCACAGCAATATGGGCTGGTGCAGATATCCAATACTTTCCAAGTAGATATCTTAATGCAGATGCTCATACATAAACATTTCATAAACTATCTATGAATCTCATAGTTTAGTATTAAATGTATCATTTATTTGTATAGGTTCAGAAGAAGAGCTGAAAGAGTGCAATTTTCACATCAAAAGAACTGTAATTGTAATTATATCCTACATTAGTCACAGCTGTATTATGCTTTAGGTTGAGAAATTTAACCTACTTGCACAGAGCTCGTAAGCAGGCGTTCTGGCACACTGCGTTAAAGCCTGAAGAAAAATCCATAAAACATCTTAAGTGAATTCCGGCATAAAGTTTCCCCTTTAACTGAAGCGAGCTGTATATAATCTCTTCACTGAAATATTTAGGAGGGAAGTGAAAAAAATCTATAACTGTAAATTGAGTTTTAGACCCTAAATTAAAGTTAAAATCTGAATCTAAATTAAATAAAATCTGCAAAGTTTAAATGTAATTTTATAGCTTTAAATGTATCCCTTAAGCATGCAACTTATGATAAATACTTATGATGTTTTCTGTAAGTAGCCACTAGACCAGGGGTCGGCAACATGCGTCTCTTTTACTGCCCTGTTGCGGCTCCACAGCAGAATTAGAATTTTAGGTAAAAATAAAATAATCCTCCTTTACAGTAAAATAAAGCTCTGCTTGGAGTAAATGTAGCCTATATCTGATAAATTACCAACCTTTGACCCTGAAGGTGGGCACGCAGACTGTTGGTCACCATAGCAACACAGACAACCATTTCACCTAGCTAGTAGCTAATGAAAAGGCAAAGGTAAAGATTTAGGACGATCGTCGATAATTTGGAGACAACAGACTTATTTACATTTATAATCACTCCAGCTGGTTTCCTGATACACTGAATCTGCAACAAGAAACGGTCAAACACTAAAAAGTCGAGAGGCTGAAGTCAGATTCTCATTCGCCAGCCTCTTTGAATTTTCATGTTCCACCTTAAATGGTGCAGCGGTTACAATCTGTTGCCTCAGACACCATTTAAAGTGGAACGAAAAAATTCGAAAAAGAAGCTGGCGAATGAGAAGCTGACTTCAGCCTCAAAAAAGGCAAACGTTAAGAGACATTTCACAAGAAACTATTTTACTTTTGGAAAAGTTTATATCAGATTCTTTAGTCTATACTAGCACTTTAGCACATACTGGCGCAAGGCTGAGGTCAGCTTCTCATTCCACCTTAAATGGTGCAGCAGTTGAATTCTGGCATCTCAGACACCATTTAAGGTGGAACTGGAAAAAACGGAACAAGAAGCTGGTGAATGAGAAGCTGATTTCAGCCTTGGAAAAAGTCTAACATTGAGACCATGATTGTTTAGTGAGAAGACTAATGAGCCAAAGGACCTTTTCTTCCTCTCCCAAACAAGCATATTTGGGCGTTGTATTCCTTTTTGTATGTCTTTTACAGTGGCAAATTGAGCATACTACATATTATACTACATATTATACATACATACATATACATTAAAACATAAATTCACTGTGGTTTATCACATCTTTGGAAAGCTGAGTTCAATTTCCTTAGCCACACCCCGGCCTGATTACTGCCACACCTGTTCTCAATCAAGAAATCACTTAAATAGGACCTGCCTGACAAAGTGAAGTAGACCAAATCCAGATCAAGATCCTCAAAAGCTAGACATCATTGCTGCGATCCAGAGAAATTCAGGAACAAATGAGAAACAAAGTAATTGAGATCTATCAGTCTGGAAAAAGTTATAAAGTTATTTCTAAAGCTTTGGGACTCCAGCGAACCACAGTGAGAGCCATTATCCACAAATGATGAAAACATGGAACAGTGGTGAACCTTCCCAGGAGTGGCCGGCCGACCAAATTACCCCAAGAGCGCAGCGACGACTCATCCAAGAGGTCACAAAAGACCCCACAACAACATCCAAAGAACTGCAGGCCTCACTTGCCACAGTTAAGGTCAGTGTTCATGACTCCACCATAAGAAAGAGACTGGGCAATGAATGGCCTGCATGGCAGAGTCGAAAACCACTGCTAAGCAAAAAGAACATAAAGGCTCATCTCAGTTTTGCCAGAAAACATCTTGATGATCCCCAAGACTTTTGGGAGAATACTCTGTGGACTGACGAGACAAAAGTTGAACTTTTTGGAAGGTGTATGTCCCATTACATCTGGCGTAGAAGTAACACAGCATTTCAGAAAAGGAACATCATACCAGCAGTAAAATATGGTGGTGGTAGTGTGATGGTCTGGGGCTGTTTTGCTGCTTCAGGACCTGGAAGACTTGCTGTGGTAAATGGAACTATGAATTCTGCTGTCTACCAAAAAATCCTGAAGGAGAATGTCCGGCCATCTGTTTGTGACCTCAAGCTGAAGCGCACTTGGGTTCTGCAGCAGGACAATGATCCAAAACACACCAGCAAGTCCACCTCTGAATGGCTTAAGAAAAACAAAATTAAGACTTTGGAGCGGCCTAGTCAAAGTCCCGACCTGAATCCAATTGAAATGCTGTGGCATGACCTTAAAAAGGCGGTTCATGCTCGGAAACCCTCCAATGTGGCTGAATTACAACAATTCTGCAAAGATGAGTGGCCAAAATTCCTCCACAGCGCTGTAAAAGACTCACTGCCAGTTATCACAAACGCTTGATTGAAGTTGTTGCCGCTAAGGGTGACCCAACCAGTTTTTAGGTTTAGGGGGCAATCACTTTTTCACACACGGGCCCTGTAGGTTTGGATCTTTGTCTAATATTTAAATTTGTTTGGTGATCTGAAACATTCAAGTGTCACAAACATGCAAAAGAATAAGAAATCAGGAAGGGGGCAAACACACACACACACACACACACACATACATATATATACATACACACACACATATATATATATATATATATATATATATATATATATATATTACACAGTATGTTTTTCCTTCTCCTGTAAAGTTACCATTTTGGAGCTACAAGGTTTTGTTCTGACAGCAGTGATATATATTTCAGTATGGATTATCAGTGAAATAGCTCTGATGCAGATACATTTTTAAACAATTATCTGCTGATATTGATATGATTCTGATACCTTTGTTCATCTCTAACATGCATTACGATTTTCTTTATTTTTGCCTAAACTCTCTATTGTGTGTGGTTTTCCCCAACCACACTACAGAATGAATTACACTGCAGAGTGAATGCTTTATTAGAATTTCATCAAAGCATGCCGAGGATGTTTGCCTAACCATTGTTAAATTTTCTCTGCATTTCTTAGTCGATCTGGGTGGTGCATACCAAAGCAAGCAGTCAGCCATCAATGCTGAAAGGCTGCACAAAGAAAGTCACACTCAGAAGAACTGATGGGATTAAAAGCAGGCGATGAGTGTAATAAGATGAAGGATCATCATCATTAAGAACTATAAACCTTTACGAGACAGCTAAGTGTATTTACATTTCTATATTTCTCCTTCAGCAGACACTTCTCCAGAGCGCCATACAAAACGTGTTCTTAGCCCTGACATAAGTAGAAAGATTGTTTAGACAGCTTAATGAAGACACTTAATGCGGAGCAAGTATATTTAATTTCCAGACCGTTTGCTATGAAATCAGAGAGAACAAAGATGACCTGTTAAAACCATCTTCTGGTAGCATGGGAGTAAACTGTGCAGCTTTAAAGGCTGATGCCAAAGTGACAGCACTTAACTTTAGACAGTGGTGCCTCAGTGCCCTCTAGTGCTGAGTACAGATATTTGAATTGGGGCTGAGGTTGATATTGTGCTGCCACCACTGGTTCACAGTGAGTAACACTCACAGTCACTTGCTGACTAAGTTCTAGACGTGACATGATGATACAATATTAGATGTTGGCATCGGCCTAGAATTTCCATATTGCTGCAATTCTAGTTTTAAGTCACGCTCATTTCAATTTAAAAAAAAAAATCAATTTCTCACAATTTCTGCATAATTTAATGGCCAAGATGTAAAGAAAGTCATTCAGAGTGGTTTGGTGTGAAATGCTCTGTTCTAGAGAAACTTAGCCAGAATTGTTCACAGTGGTGGTGATAGGAACCAGACGTCCACCTCTAAGAGCTCCCTCACAGAAAGATATTATATGAAATGGGTATGAATACACCGCCTGATTCTTTTTTATGACAGTTAGAAGATTTTGGCCTACGACATATTTTTAAAATATATTCATGGTGTAGAGGTTCATGCAGATACACATGTATGCAAAAGTTTGGGCACCTCTGCTTGAATCATGTTTTGTTGCTTTTCTAAGTGAAACTATTAGGTATCCATCCTCGCCAGAGAACACACTTCACATTTTAACGTACAGTTACTGTTTATTTGCTGGATATAACATATTCGAAAAAATAAAACGAAATGTGACATTAAAATGTGCTGAAAACTGAAGTGTGCTCTCTGTAGAGGATGCATTAACTTATTTTCACTTAGAAAAACAAAAAAACATGTAATTTGACCAGGGGTGCCTAAACTTTTGCATATGAAAAACAGAACCCAAAGAAGACCCTAAACCTACCACTATTTTATCTTCATCAACATTACATACACTTTAAAAAGATGGTTCTTCAAGGGTTCTTTACTAATGAAAATGGTTCTATATAGCAGCATGAACACTCAAAGAACCCTCTGCATGATTAAAGGGTTCTTTGCATCTTGAAATGGTTCTTCAGACTGATGCAGAATGTGTTACAAGCAAGTATTATAACATCAGAACCCTTTTTGGTGCTAATAAAATGGCTATATTTGTGCCCCCCCCCCCATCAAACTACTCTGAACAACTTTTGCAAATAACTTCCATTTCCAGTGTTTTTATCAAAAGAAACTGGTACATTATCTCATCAGTTAATGTAGGCATATGAGAAGAAAGTCAATTTTCTTAAACACTGCTTTGATACTTTATGATCAGTCTCGTATACTGAAATATTTTAAAACAGAATCTGCAAAAATGTTGCATAATGCTTGATTTTCATGCCTTCATGTTTGAATATCAAAATGACATTTAGAGGTGAGTAAACAAGGTGTGTCAGTTGTAAACATTAAGATTTTTTTTTACCTGAATGTCAACCAGAGCAAATTCAACTTGGAATGAAAGAAAGCAGCAGTGACCAGTCAGTCTGTATTGTTGAATGGTTTTCCTCTCATCTGAAGGATAAAGAAAATCACAGGGAAACAATATACGTTGAACCTATGAATCAATACATTCTGAAAGAATACATCAATAATAAACTTAAAAAATCATTAGCTTTAGAAATGTAGATGAAGATCTAAAAGTAATTAGTAAAATGTTTTCTAATTTAAAAAATTATTTTTCGCTGCCCTTCCTAACAAATACACGCTGCTAGAAAAAAAAACATAAAATGTGGCCTGTGCAAAAGTTATGGCATATTTTTTTGCCCACGAATATGTCAAACTCCGAAAAATAAAAATTGTACACCACTATTTGCAGACAAATGTCACTTTTAGGTTTCCTACAAAAACTAAACGAAGGTCAATTTAGGACAGACCCCTCATCACATACTCTACATGTCTAAAAGTATCCAGGAAACCGGTCTAATGAGTGCATTCAGCTACTTTAAGGTGCCTCACCTGCTGACACGTGTTTAAGTGTGCATACAGCTTGTATAATCCACATAAGAAAACACTGACCAACAGCATGGAGCTCTGGAGCAGCCATACAGGAGCGTGAGGTCACCGTGCCTAATACTAAACATGGGCTAGAGGGGTATAAAGCCCCCCCCCAGCATTCTCTGATCTATATATATATATATATAAGATCTTACTTTTCTCCAGTGTCTTCACGCAGCACTCTGTGAGGGTTATTCCACTGATCTTTGTCTGTCTTCCAAGGTCCTTCTCAGTATCAGTAATTTCTGCTATGAGCTTCGAAACATCTTTCTTGAGTGTCCCATCTCCCTTCTCCTTCTTGTTGTACAGAGTCTGTCTGGAAAAGAAAGAAAAGCCACCAAAACACAATGTTTATACTGAAAGGTAAATTTAGGCTATACATGCTCTGCATATATGCATCTCAGGGCCCCATCACAGAAAATCAAATTTTTCTCAATTTTAGAAAAGAGTTTAATGTAAAGTTTCAAAACGTGCGGTTCACTCTCCAGCCTGTTTAGTCCATATATAGTAACAGAAGGCATTTTTCCAGTAGGCAATTCGGACAGTATGGTTACAAATCCAAACCCAGAACATTCCACACCCTGGTCAAGTAGCAGTGTCCATTTTCAATCCCACAACAGAACCATAAAAGTAGGCACGGTTCTCCTTAACCTGTGCAGTCACATGATTTTTCACAAGAATTCAGCGTCTACAAGAAACACAACAGTGGCAACAATGGAAGAGCTTCAAATTCTGATTTATCTTTTAATAAATTTGGTTTTTGCGAGTGACAGACAGCAATTCTGACTCACTAATGTTTTTAATAACAGTCTTCTGGTTCCACTCAACCGTGTGACGATGCTGTAACAGTTGGGTTTGACCAGTCAGTGGTTTACACCATTATTAAGTCCACCCACATGTTGCTGTTCGACACACTCAATACCTCGAAAAGCCAACCAAATTCAGAACTGGTACTCACGTACGGCTCACGCGGAGGTGAAAATGAATACAAACAGCGAGATCACAGATTTGAAATAGTTCTGGGCCGCACGGCTGCTCGAAGAGCGCCAAGAGCTGCAAAACAGCCTACTTTGAATTCGTTGTTGTTGTGATGTCACAAAAAAACAAAAATTACACACATCTGCCTATTCAGCCTACAGCAGTTTAGCCCCACCCACTCAGCCCAGACAGGACAGCCAATCAGAACATTTACATATGTCAATCATGAATGCACAATAACAACAACAGCTTTTTTATATTCTTGAGGAATTAAAGAGATGATTTAAACGGTCATGGATGATGATGGAGATGATGATGATAAGAACCAAGTCACTTAATAAACTCACTGCTATCCTGGACAACCTATCACACCCCCTCCATGACCTACAGGTCAGACAGCGGAGTACCTTCAGCAACAGACTCATTCAGCTCCACTGTAGTGAGGAACGGTACAGGAGATCGTTTGTACCGACAGCAATCACACTGTAGACTTCGTCACTGTGCCGGGACATTACTGTATACCGAACTACTGACAGGACAGACTCACTAAGCGCCAACTGGAGATTGTGTGTCTCTACTCTTTAATATACAGTGACACTTTGTTTACACATCCATACATGTTGCATATTGCACTGCCACTTGTTTATACACCCAGGCGTATTGCACAACTATTAACATGTTATCGTTTAGTGTTTAGTCACTCAGTTCACCAACTGGATGTGACATGCACCACTGCACTGTCACCTGCATAATATTTATGCGATTTTACTTATTCTCGCACTGCACATTACATTTTATACTTAAATTTAAAAAAAAATTAATATATCTTTACTTCTTCTATTTATGCATCCGTATAATAGCGCATGGCAATACTTCTGCTCTTGTTTTGCTCTTTACTGTACTTTGTGCCACTGTAATTAACAACATTCCCTCCGTGATTAATAGAGTGATCTATCAATCTGTATCTATCTATAAAACCACATAAACGTTATAAGTGGACCTGAGATCAAAAACACAAAAATGAAGGATATGGGCCCTTTAACCTTTACTGTGTCTATTCAAATGTGTTTTCAGGTCTTCTTTCACTACTTACAGAACACTTTGCAGGGCTTCTCCATGTTGAAGGGAAATAGCTCGCACACAGGAATCCTGCTCAGCTTCACACGCCTCGATCTCTCGCTGCAGTAGTTTCAATTCCTCTTCTAATTTTTGCTCCATGGTTTCCATGTCCTACAGGAGAAAGCACAGATATAGGGTTAACGCTGAAAGCTTTAAGTTAGAAAAAAACAACAGCTTATGCCTACGAAGCGTTTAAAAACAGTTCTGTACAGCACCAAAAGGGTTCTTTTTAGTACCATATAGAGCTTTTTGCTTTGAGTGCAGGGATGCATGATGATACAGGAATCATATCATTATTGGCAGATTTGAATGTTTGTTTTAAAACAATTATTAGCCTCAAACCGATACTTACATTTGTCTAATTCAAAACAATAGTAAATTATGCATTAGTATTATTATTTTAGAAGAGCACAACATTGAGGTGACAATGAGCCACTATGCTAAAATATTTTATTTATTTTACGTTATTTGTTTGTTCTGTTATTCAAATCCAGGTGGATCAAGCCCAATTGCTACATTTCATAAAAGTGTGTTTTGTCATTGACATATATGTTTGTGAAAAATATCAGATGTTGGCATCGACCTGGAACATCCATATCGCTGCATTCCTAGTTTTAAGTCGTACATGTGCACTGAATTTTCTATTTTCTAGGGAAAGTCCAGCAATTTCTCACAATATCTGCATAATTAACTGATTCAGATGTAAACAAAGTCATTCTGAGTGGTTTGATGTAAAACACTTGGTTCTAGAGAAGATTATCAAGGTAGAATAATTTACAGTGGTGGTGATAGGAACCAGACATCTGAAGTCTTTAAAAGCTCTAAAGGCACAAAGTTATCACATCGAAATGATTATGAATATCTTCACCTGTTGCCTAAGACACCAGGTAGGTTACAGGGATTTAGCCTAGTCTTAGACAAGTGAACATGCTAAATGGAGATTCTCCATTGATAGAAAAATGTAATCTAGGACTAAGATTAATCCCCAAGAAATCAAGCCCTTATTTCATGATAGTTCTGTGAATTTTATCACTATCAACATTATATATAAAAGCTCTGAAGACATATGTAGGTTCAACACTCATTTCGGACAGAAGGCTTTTTTTTAAAGAGGCTTTTTTTGTGTTGTAGACCAGTTTTTCCTCAGCCCGGGTCCTGGACGCCCACTGCCCTGCACATTTTAGTGGTTTTCCTGCTTTAACACAACCACTTTAACTCAATGAAGGGCTGTTAATGAGCTGATTAGTTGTATCAGGTGTGTTGGGAGTAGAGATGAAGCGGTTACCGGTTTCACGGTAAACTGCGGTAAAATTAATGACGGTTAGTAGTACCGTTTGAACTTTGAACTTTAAAGTATCGTTAAAACCGCGGTCGATTACCGCGGTGTGAAAACTCTGAGATTCGGAGATATTTCAGCCTTCTAAGAAGACCAAGTCTGACGTTTGGTCATATTTTGGGTTTTATAAGAACGAAGAAGGAAATCCCCACAGCTGAAGACACACTGTGTGAGTTCTACACTGTCTGCAGCTCACAGCGCGGTCACGCAATTCCTCTGTGATTTTGGCTGTTTTTCCTGGTGCACTGTGTTGATTAGGGGTTCAGCGCCACAACGGCACAATAATGCTGCAGTTGCAGTTCGGACAGAAACCCCCGAGTGCAGCACTTCTTAGAAGTAGTCATTTTCCATTAAGACCCACCTCAGAGTTGATCCAGATTTAATTCTCTATGCAGGGAAATCCCTAGTTGTAATTATTATAATAATAATAATAATAATAATAATAATAATAACAGTGATAATAATAATAACAGTAATAATAATAACAACAGTAATAATAATACATTTGCTATTCTTTTGTTTACAGAGTATTACAAGTATTGTAAGTAATTCAAAAATAATACTAAAATTGTACTGACCTTATTTTTTAATGTTTATGCAAATAAAAAGTGCATATTGCTGCCAATTCTATTTGTGTTAATATAAAAGTTGGTGAAACGAGTTTCAGTTTGTGTATCAGTATTTATTTTTTTATTTATTTTACTTTTCAACACATTTGAACAATATCGCAATAATACTGATAGTCGTGATAATTTTGGTCATGATATCGTGATATGAAATTTTGATTTCATTTCATCTCTAGTCGGGAGCCAGGAAAACACTAGACAGTACAGGGCGGTGGGACTCCAGGGTTGACAAACATTCACACTACTGCACAGAAAAACAGCCAGTTACGTTTTTTGCAACGTACCTTTTCACATCAACCCACACTATATGACTTTACATATCAATGTGTGAATTATTCATGTTTCAATGATTAAGATGGAAACAAAGTAACTGAGTGGTTTGATGAGAAATTATAAATTGTAGAGAATACTGCTAACATCTTTACAGTGGTGGTGATGGGAACCAGGGGTCTCCATGTCTACAACACAAATATAGACATTCTATTTACTATCCAAAACCACCAGTAAACCCACACGTATCCTCTGAGTCTTTATATGTAATGTTAATGATGGTAAAATGGTGGAAAATCTGAAAAAATAACTTTTTGTCAGGGGGCTATTTTGCCTCACAACACCCTGCATGTATCTCTCCGCCATGAATGGCTTCAGAAATGATGTTTTATGTCAAATCATTACCTCAGCACTACATAACACAGTATCTCAGATATCAGGCTGTGTATTCATGACAATTTCATATGTTTCTGTGAGGGAGCTTTCAGAGGTGGACGTCTGGTTCCTATCATCACCACTGTAAACAAACTTGACAGGGTAAGTTGTTCCTTTAGAACGCAGCATTTCACACCAAACCACTCTGAATGACTTTACATCTTAATCGTTTAATTATGCACAAATTTTGAAAAATCGATGGAGTTCCCCTTCAAGTAGTAACCTAACCTAGCTAACTCCCAACTATGGAGACACGTATCCAAGATTATCCAGTCCAATAAACTCGACTTACTACTTGACTAACTTAGACTGGACGAAGTAGACAAAAATAAAGATTAACCCAGTTTTAACCGAAACTGTTCTCTGTTTGAGTTAAGCCTCGACTAGCTGACCAGGTTAGCTAGGTTAACTAACTGGGTGCGGAGAAGCTTTGGCACAGGCAGAGCAAAAAGCTGCAAGATTCACTAAAATATGATAAACAGCGTCTAATATTTAAACTATGTGGTCGCTTAACAGTTAACCTACTGTCTGTTTTCTCATGAAAACTCGCTCATTTTTCTTAACTGTTCACTGACAACTTACTAATATCGCCACCTCGACTCCAAATCCTGTCGGTTTGTTTGTGACAAATTCCGCGCCAAATCCAAGCGGAGCCAGAGAGCGTGTAGAGAGGAGACTCGCCACTCAGTAATGTGTTCTGGGTTTGTCAAACGCTAGAGGGCGCTCCTGAGCTAGTCTAAAATGAATGGGTTATTATGGAGCATTTCAGCAAAATCACAGTTTGTAAATCCTTCAGCCTGTTTTATGTAGAAAATGCGTTCACTTCCTGAACACAGAAATCCTAAAACATTTTAATTCTGTTATATTTTTAATTATATTTTATATTTTTAAGCGCTTCTGAACTCCAGCTATAGGATTTTAAATGCCACCTCATGTAGGTTACGTTCATGACGTTAGTGAGAGTGAACAACTACACTGAACTGGTCACCTGACCAACCAATCACCACTCAGTAGCAGTAATGTCAACCAATCAGCACTCAGTAACAGTAATGCTCTATTGCTAAAATCTGTTTGCTGTAGAAAATACAGATATAGTTTCTTTGATTTTTTAATGAAATCCATTCTTTTACTTTCTAAAAACAAAAGGAAGGTCTTTCATAAGTGGTTAGAAACTGTTTTACCTTTCGTTTTTAGCCGTTTAGCTCCATTCACCCCATTCATTTAGGACTCGCTCGCGGTCGCCCTCTACCGTTGTGCAGTCATGTTTACTTGTAACGGGAGAGAAAGGTTGCGGTCAGTCTCCCCTTAAACCGGCTCCGGGTGAGTCTCGTTTGTAAATAAAAGTAAGAATACTGAGCTTTTATTTCTTTCTGAGCCTCTATATGCTTATAAATACAGCAAAAGAGTGTTTAGTTCAGAAAGAATATTACGACGCCCAAACGGTAACGCGGTACTCTTGCAAATGTTTTATTGAACGAGGAACATTAAATGTAGGAACTAAAGAGAGTTTTGCTGCTACCGAGGAATCGTTTTCGTGCAACACCGTACAGTGGGTTCCATGTGAGAAGTTGCTCATAAATGTAAGACACATTTTACTCAATTTCTCTCTTTTTCTTCTGTGTTCTGGCTGTTTAACTGTCCAGCTCGTATCATACGTGTGGCTATTTGTAAAGCGTGTCGTTGTCTTAACTGGGATTTGCTCGATACGTCTACCTTTCCCGATTACTGCTGTAAGACACACTTTTTAGTAGTTGTGTTACGGTAAAATTCATTAAAATGTCATATTGTACATTTTCCGTGTATTTTATTTGTTCTCCTGAGGTCCACTTAACGTTTATCTACCAAAGTTTTATCTACCAAAAAAAACGTATATTAATTTTACACTACCACTTCTCAACCTCCCTTTATCTCTTAAAGAGGAATTCTGTCTATTTTTCAAAAATTCTGCATATTTAAATGGTTCGTATGTAAACAAAGTCATTCAGAGTGGTTTGGTGTGAAATGCTATGTCCACAATGTTGCTGATAGGAACCAGACGTCCACCTCTAAAAGCTCCCTCACAGAAAGCTTTACATTAAATGTCTATGAATACGCTGCCTGATGCCTGACACATTGTCCTTTGACAGTTTTGTAATAAAACTTTGGCTTGAAGTGTATTTTAATCAATTTATTTTAATCCATTCGTGGTGGAGGGGTACATGCAGGACATTGTAAGGCAAAATAGTCCCCAAAGAAGGCTTCACTTTTCACAGTCTATGACTGCCATCATCATCATCATCATCATTACGGATAAAAACCCAGAAGACGTGTAGGTTCACTGGTGGTTTTGGGTTGTAAATAAAATGGCTATATTTGTGTTGTAGACATGGCGACCCCTGGTTCCCATCACCACCACTGTAAAGAAATCAGTGTCTGTAAATTTCTCTGCAATGAACCATTTCACATCATACCAGCACAAATAACTCCGTTTTCATCTCAGGGGCTGAATTATGCAGAAATTTTCAAGAAGCTGGTGGAATTCCCCTTTAAATTTAACAGACTGTTTTCGTGACCGTGTCTTTAGGACTGATATAAACAAATGACCTGTTTCATTGGCTGCCCTGTACTGTGTCACAGCGAAACTTACATGCAACTTTAATTGCTTTCAAGCAACATGAACATAAATTTCACTTGAGTTGGATAATTGCAAAGCATCCTACAACTTACTTGATACTCAGCTGCAAGCAACTCAGCTTCATTAAACAAGTTTCATGAAATAGGCAATCAAAACGCTGATATTCATTACATGATCATATCAAATTAGATCCAGTTGTCTGCAATATTCAATCATTGTGACGTAAACAAAGTAATGCAGGTGGTTTGTTGCAGGGGGCACCATCACTACAACACAAATTTAGCCATTTTATTTACTATCCAAAACCACCAGTGAACCGACACGTGACTTCTGAGTTTTATATGGAATATTGATAATGGTATAATAGTAGCAGGGGCTGTAAATTAGCTTAAGCTAGATGCCCCATATTCACTACATGTGTTACGTTCTAGGCAATGTTTATCTGTATTGTCCATGTCAAATAAAAAAATAATGTAAATAAATAATAGATCTTTAAAAATGATGTTTTCTTGGAGGACTATTTTTCCTCACAGCGATTAATAACCATTTCATATAATAACTGTGAGGGGTCTTTTAGTGGCATTGAACTCTTCAATACAATACATGCTCTTTAAGTTTCTCTATAACTCAGCATTTCATATCAAACCACTCAGAATGACTCTGGTATTTAATTATACAGAGAGTTTAAAAAGTTGGTAGAATTCCCCTTACATGAGAGTGTTTCATGAGAGTGTTTGTAATATTTAGTATGAAAAAAATAGCCGTAATAATCACATTGCTGTGTATTGTGAGTGCCATTTGCCTTGCAATGTATTGAGATTGCTGAAGATTTGATGTGACTAAGTCTAAGGTTGGTCAAAATATTCCAGAACACAATAAGAAAATGTTATTGATTGGTTAAACGGCTCATTTGCATATCGCATCCTTAAATTATATGTGTATAGGAAAGGCCAATGTTGCTTTAGCAATTAAAACATATTGTGCAGCCCTGCACTTTTATTGATTTATTGCCTTTTGGAATAAGTAGCTTTTGTCTTTACTGTCCACAGCAGATGTACGTTTGAAGAATGAAGCGTCTGTATATTGGTGGCCTGAGCCACACTGTATCTGAAAAAGACCTCAGAGATCGATTTGGAAAGTTTGGCGAGGTTTCTGATGCGGAGATAATAACACGGAAGGATGAACATGGTAAGAGATTTAATAGAGATTAATGAGCTTTATTTGTTCAACACATAAAGAGGTACACTTTCCAAATAAGCATCAATGAACCTCTTGGTCTTTTTTTACAGGGTCTCCACTGAAGACTTTTGGTTATATCAATATCAGCATTTCAGATTCTGACTACAAAAAATGTATGTATGCAAGTGTAATTGATACCATCTTAAATTGAAAAGCTAATGTAGTGCAGAAGTTGTGACCTTTTCTTTCTTTCTTTGTTTCTTTCTTTCTTTTGTGTAGGTTTGACTGTCTTGAACAAATCCAAATGGAAAGGTGGCACAATACAAATTGAACTGGCAAAGGAAAGCTTTTTACACCGGTAATTTCTGTAATCATAATGTTTTTGGTAATTTTTAATTCTTAAGTATTTGACCAGCTGCACGCATCACTAAAAAAGACAAATGAATAGTATAGTAATGAGTAGCGAATTGGATTTCAGCCAGTACACCATTATTTTATTATGTTATTTTGTCAATCTCTTCCTTATTAGTGGTTCTGAAACGAGTCCTCAAGACCCCCCAGATGGTCCATATTTTTGCTCCAAACTACCTCGCAAAGCATAGCGATAGATCAGAAATGGGGGCCCTGAGGACTGGTTTGAGAACAACTTCACTGGGTTTCTTGAGTGGTGCAACCATCTAAGCGTTGGCCCCGTGATCAGGAGGTCGCAAGTTTGATCCCTGGTGATGCTACAGCCATCCGTGAAGTCCAAGAGAGCACAACTGGCCTCACTCTGTCTGGGTGCGTAGGATGGCCCACCCCGTCTCCCCCATCACTCAGCGCAATGTTAGCCAGTGCAGACATCTGATGTAACAGAACTGCCAGTTGGCGCTTTCCTCCAAACTCGTTGTCCAATGACGTTGTGTTAGCGGCAGTTCAAAAAGATGCAGTGGCACTTCACAGGTCTCGGAGGAAGTCTTCACTAGTTTTCGCCCTAATAGCGCTGGTGGTATTGTGTAATTGTGGGGGGGGGTCTTAACTAGTGGGTAGAATTGGAAATGTCTAAATTAAGGAGAAAATTGTGAAAAATAAAAAATCAGTATCATTATTGCTATCAGAGTGAAAAAGTGGCATTGGTGCTGATATACATATAATTAACATGATGCGCTCCCCAATCCATTCAGATGTGAGCTAATAAAACAAAAGTATTCAGCAGCTCATGAGCCAATGGTTGTTCTCCTAGGAGAAGTTTGGGGTGTACTGCTCCCCCTACTGGTCAGAGCTTGCATATCTTTTTTGGGTAACACTTATTTGGATAGTCCACTGTAAATTGACCATAACTTTCTTTAACACTAAATCTGGCACTATTCCTAACCTTAACCTCAACCCAAAACCTAAACCAAACCCTCACCCTGGTCTGAATCATAACCCTGATCCCACCGTTTAGAATCAGCTGAGTTGCAACAGATAGTTTGTTAACAATTTGAACATCTGTAGATAATCTATAGGAGACTATAGTGGGCTATCCAAATAAAGTGAGACCCTTTTTTGTGTTAAAATTACAACTATTGAAAAAGAATAAAATTAGAAATGAACAAACTGTAGCCTTTATTTCAGATAGTTTTTATGTAAATGTGTAATGAAACTATTTGCATAAAACACTGGTCGCTTGAGTTGTAATGTGCTGTGTATGATCTTCTACTGTACTAGGTAAGCTGTGTTTAGTATTTTAGGCAGGCGTACAGTTAAAGCAAGTCTTAAATGTATTGAACGTTTACTCACAGCTTCTGTTTATATCTGTGCACATAATAAAGGAGTGCATCCACTATTACAAGAATTAGTGCAAGACAGTTATTAGTATTAACATTAT